GAGTGACCACGGAGTTTTACTAAGTTTATCCTGACACGGATTTGGAACCTGAATTGGAGCTGTAGAGTGAATTGGGGCTGGTGGGTAATCTACATCTGAGTTGATGAACCCTGGCGAATGCTGATAAGAAAGGTGAATCCAGGAGATATTTGAAAGGGAGATAAGCCAAGGTGTGGGGAGTATTTTGGATGGAAGTGTTAAGAGGGGATGTGACCACAGACACTGGTGAATGGTTAGATGGGATGATGGAAGGATGTGGACATGCTCTTAGAATGCTTCAGTGTCTTTTTGGTGAAGTAGTAAATATTTATTAGGCACTTTGCATTTGTTCTGTGAATTAATCCTCCCAGCAGTCATATGAAGAAGATACTGTAATTCCTATTTTGTAGGCAGAAACTGAAGTTCAAAGGGTTAAGGATCACATGGCTTGTTCAATTGACTCTTCTCCAGTTCAGTTTTGAACTCATTCCAGTCTGTGGTTTGGCCTCCAAACTCCTTTCACTCCAGATACCCATGATTTCCATCTCATCAAAAGGGATCTTTCCAATTCTTTTCTTACTTCCATGAAATTTCAGATTACTTGATTCATCCCTCCTCATTTACATTCTTAATCAATCCATTGGCTGCTATATCCAGTTTCCTTTCTATTCTCTTGCACTTCTTCTAAGTTTCTTTTTTAAAGATTTATATATTTACTTGGAAGAAAGAGAGAGAGAGAGAGTGGAGGAAGGGGCAGAGGGAGAGAATATCCAAGCAGACGCCCACTGAGTGTGGAGCCAGACACGGGACTCAGTTCCACTACCCATGAGATCAGGACCTGAGCTGAAACCAAGAGTCAGATGCTCAACTGACTGAGCCACCCAGGTGCCCCACTTCTAATTTTTTGAGCCTGCTCCTCTGTCACTCTGCCTTTTGAAGATCCTTAGAACTCTGTCGTAGGTCTTCTTACTTTATTCTGATATACTCGGTCCTGGATGAACAATCTTACGGCTTTTATTACCATATGCAAACTAGTTTTAATTAATGAGTAAAATACCAAAATTTATCACTCTAGTTAAGACCTTGCTCCTGAGTCCCAGGCTTGTACCTCCCCATCTCTTGCCTTCCTTACAGCCACTTTTTTTAAAGATTTTATTTATTTATTTATGAGAGACAGAGAGAGAGAGGCAGAGGGAGAAGCAGGCTCCCCCAGAGCAGGAGCCTGATGCGGGGCTCGATCCCAGGACCCTGGGATCACAACCTGAGCCAAAGGCAGACGTTCAACCGACTGAGCTACACAGGCACCTGACTGAGTCACCCAGGCACCCTACTTACAGCCACTTAGACCTCAATGTTTCCTAACTATGACTCCTCATCTTATCCTTAAATCTTCTTCTTCTTTTTTTTATTTTTTGCATGTGTTCTTTATCTCAAAAGATACATGACCGTTGGCCCATTTGCTTAAGCCAGATACCTGAACATTATTGTTGGATTTTTCCCTTCCCTAACTCCTAAAATCTAAATAATCACTAGGTTCTATGATATCTACTTCTCAAGCCTTATGGATTACATTTCCTGAAATTTGTCCAAGGTCCAGGCTTGTTTTGTTTGTGGCTTTATGCTTGGGCATAACCCACTGCCTGATATTTGGTAGATACCAAATAAATATTAGTAGAATAAAAGAATGAATAAACTAATGTATAGAGGCAAAAAAAATGAATAAACAAGTCAAACAAGAATTGGAGCTTTGCTTTCTGATTTTGGAATATCTGATCTTTTTAAGTTAAACATCCATTTTTATGATAAACTGTTGGACCTGGGTCTTTGACCTACAACCCCAGTGTTCTTTTTACCTCTCATGATATATCTGGGAAAAGAAAATCATGGTGTCATGGGCACCTTACCAATTAGCAAGTGAGTGCAAAACCCTCTTAACCAAGGACAAAGACTCAGAAAAGATAATATTTCTATTCAAGGCCATTTAGCTGGTTATTGGATAGAGTTGATTAACAGTTAATCTTGTTTTTAGTGCAATAATGTTTCCTCTGTTTCATGACACTTATTAATCTTTGAAAAAATTTAAATACTATATTGTTAAGCAACATCTAAGTTAAATCAAATATAACTTCCATTTATACAACGTCTTATTTCTCTATCATTAACCTGTGCAGCCTTGGTAGTGTGTAAATGCTAATTATTTGCATTGTGCTTGTGGTTTTCTTTAACCCTGTTGTGAATAAATGAATATTTTTATTTTAATACTTCTGCAGCAGAATGGATTTCCCCAAACCTCAGAATAACTTCCTTATAAGCAAGAAAGGAGGCTGGGATTTGCCTGTTTGCCTAATAAAGTTCAAAAGACTGTCTTGTTAGCTTGAAACGTTACTGGACCTTCTGTTATGGTCATGTTTGAGAGCTCATAAAAGTAGTTTTGGTTTGCTTAAAATTTTAGTGCATAGTCAGAGACACCTCAAGAACTTTGGTGATATTTAGGTATCACTTTATGATCTGCCCTAAGTTTGTAGTTCTTAATCCATTAAAAGACAGAGCTACTTGTAAATCCACAGGTATAGTAAGAAGTCACTGTTTGCCTGAGTCTGAACGCTTTTCAAATGAAAAATGTCAGTGGCAGAAAGAGAGGATGAATTACGTTTTTAAAAGGTTTTCAAAGATCCTCTGATTTCTCCGGTATCACTTAAATGTGACATGACTTTTTTTTAGTGTATAAAAACAAGCAAACTATTTGGGCATCATTTTTACATAGAAAAGAACATTCTTAACTAGTATTTAGCAGAGGGATTGAAATGTATTTTATCCTTAAATGGTAAATTGTAAAGAAATTGCTTAAAATTTAAGTGTGTATGGTTGAAAAATTCAAAGAACTATAAGAAATTAAAGTTTCTTTCAAATAGAAAAAATATCTTAAAGATTTAAATAAGTATGTTATCACCTATGAATATATACATTGAGGGACATTTTCCACTGAATCCTTGTTGACATCATAGTCGATTGTTAGCTATCCTCTGTCTTGGAGAATTTTGTGAATAAGGCTCTGATTCCAATGCATTAATCAAAAAGATTGTATAAGGATGAAAAACATTTTCAGGGGAAAATCTCAGAAATGGGTTTGTTATTCCACCTACAGAAAACAAATTATTATTATTCCATATTCCCTGGACTTGGGATTTGATACTTAAGCATTAATATATTATTTGTTGCAAGTGTTCTATTTATAAAGCTACATTTCAAAAGCTCAGACTTATAGAATCTTTTTTTGGGTCCATTTTCCTAATTACTGATCATCTTTAGCTACTGATACATCAGAATGAAAAGAAAAGGAGGGGGATGTGTGTGTCTATCTTAATGAGTTTAATGAGTTCTTCCATTTTTAGTGTATTTGACAAGTGGGAGGGAAAGGGAGTATGACAAGAAGGGAGAATGGAGGTGTCATCCTTGAATTGACATTGTTTACTATGAACCTGGGATTGTTATTTCCATTGTATCTTCATTGTCCCAATACAGAGACATTTATATTTTCATAATTGACATAATGGAATCATGACACAATATTTTAGCTGACTGTGGTTTACATACTTTGATTTTGGTTTTCAGGATGAGCAATAATAAAAACGTGAAAAGTAATGTCTGGTATTTTAACTGGTGTTAAATGGAGGAGACGCAAATGTAAAGAAAGATCTAACTGAACTCAGGTTGATGGTATTGCTTTTAAAAACATCAAGATTAAATGTACATATTTAAAGTTATAGACTTGAAAAGAAATTAAGGCCAGAGTAAGGCAAAAATTTTATAATATATTACCTACCATGACTTATGTATCTCTTAGAAAATGTAACTACTGAATACATTCTGTTTTATTGAGAACTTTTCTCACCTGTCTGTTGTACATGGTTTCTAGTTATACTTATTAATCCATTCCTTCCCATTTTCATGTCTACTCTTGAGCAGGGTGAGAAGAAATACCAATAAAAAAACATAAATTATATTATTAAGATTAATATTTTGAAATATAAAGCTTTTGCTACGATAATATGGTATAGTGATACTGTCAGGACATAAATTTCATAGATTTAATTATTGAAAGACTCCAATTCCTGGTCGAGATTTTGTTGGTTTGTTTATCCCAAACAGTTTTTAGACTGATGGTTATTCTTTGAAGCTTTGAAACCTTCATTTTTTTAATTAATTCATTTATTTCTTAAATAAATTTCTTAAGAGAGCATTTGATGAATTCCTACTTCATGGCAGTGTGTATACTGTCTTTACTTCCTATTTCCCTTTAATGATCCTCATGTAATAAATTGGAGGCAATGAAAGGAAGAAGACCATCCAAAACTGGCTGTTTCATAAGTGTTTTTTGTCCAAACTCTTTTGGTAACATAGAATCTACATCAAGTACCAAATATAAAAATGTAATGAATTTGATTAGACATTTTTTCATTTGGGAAAACATACACCTCTAACTTTTTATACATGTAGATATTTCATCCCTTGAAATTAGTAGTAATTTCTGAAAATTACCAAGTGCTTTCAAAAAACTCACTAGATGTTGTTCACCACGAGTCTTGCGTAACTATAATAGTTATTGCATAAGGTATATATCTTTAATTATAATTTTTAATTACATTGGTGATCAAATATAAAATTTTAACTCTGAGCCATTGTCCTCATGTTTTTTGCCTACCTGTTTTTCCATTAGAGCAGTGCTTTTTGAGGTGTTATTATTTCGGGTTCTTCAGGACTTACTAAATAGAATTGACTTCTGTAGATGATGGTGTGAAAAGGTGCAAGAAAGAAATTGGACTAAATTCCGAATTCTAAGGACAAGTTTTATTTTCTTCTCAGGATAACAAGATCAGTTGTTTTTCAGACAAGCATAACTAATTCTCTTAATACGAATCCCGAGAATATTGCGTGTGTAAAGCCAACACAGAAAAAGAGGTGGCTGTGGGTAAGGCACACGTGAAAGTACTCCAAACACCTCTTGTTTTCATTGTCTGCAGGAGAGCTGGAGGTATTTCAGAAAGACGGAGAACGGAAAATCCAGAGTCGGCAGCAACTTCCTGTGGGAACAACCTGGGGGCCATTTGCTGGGAAGATGGACCTGAATAATAATTCCTTGGTATGTGGATGTTCTGAGATGGTTGACTCAGTATTTTGTCATAGCTCAGAAATTATCTCTGCTTGCTTCCCAGGGAAATCACTAAAAATAACAGTTTGTTTTTTCTTTTTCATGGACCACAAAACTTGGATATTTTCCAAGTAGTTTGTCTCTGACAGTAATACACGCAGAATTTAGAAGGAAACAGGTTAATCATACTAAATGGTTGTTTAGTAAGGTAATTTATAAGGTTGTTGCTTTATCTGCTTAGCCAGACTAATACTACTCACACTTAATAATATATACAAATGCTTTTATTTTTAAGATGACACAAATTAATTGTCATACATTACAGGTTTACATGAAGAACAAGAAATAAACAACCTTGTTATTCCTTGGTAATATTATTTGTACCTTTAAGAGCAAAGATGGATGATTAGCATCATAATTTTTGTTAACTTCCTTGGAAAATCTCTGTAAAATCTTCCTCTAGGTAAGCTTATATGGATAATTGATGAATTCGATGTTTTAAAAAGTAGTGGAAAGATAGGATGTGTGGATACCTTTAAACTTCATCTCTTAATTGGATATTTTAGTTTTCTCTCGCTGCTGTAGCAAATTACCTACCACACACTCTATGGCTTTAAAACAACACAAATGTATCATCTTGCATTTCTGCAGGTCTGAAGTCTGAAATGAATCTCACCAGGCTAAAATTCACTATCTGCAGGGCTGAGTTCCTCTCTGGAGTCTCTAGAGGTGTTTCCTTCACTTTTCCAGCTTCTCAGGGCTGCCCACATCTCTTGGCTCACAGCTCCCTGCCATCTTCAAAGCCAGCAATGGCTGATTGAGTCTTCGTCATATCCACATTCTGACTCTGACTCTTCTGTGTCCCTCTCTCACATTTAAGAACACCTGTGATTATAGTGGGCCCACCTGGGTAAGCTAGGCTAATGGTCCTATTTTAAGGTCAGCTGATTAGCTATTTTAATTCCATCTGCTTCCTTAATTCAAAACCAGGAGTGGGTAATAGATTTTTAAAAGAAAATAATACTCTAGGTTTCTTCTTTTGCCCTAGGTTTAAATATTTGATTCATGTGATTCCTTTATACTGTAGTATTTTTCTCTATTTAAAGGTATGATTGCTTTGCCAAAATACATTTTAAAATATTTTTTCTGTTGGAATACCATTCTTTTCCAGAAATTACTTTTGACTTTAGGTCATTAAAGACCCCTGGTACTACCGTTAATACTACCACTCCTGCTGTAGAACAGTTGGCTGGCATATACCACATACTCATTCTTTCTTATCCACTGTATAAAGAATTCAAGATGGATTCGTTCATCTAATCCTCAAAACAAACCTGAGAATTTGGGTCTATTTAAAATTGTGTTTTATAGATAAGCAAATAAAGGCTCAGCCTTTTGATTCCAGATTCTGCATTTTTAAAGATCATGCCACACTGTCTTCTCAAGAGCATCTGTAACGTGATTTGAAAATGATAAAATTGTTTAGGATTTTTTCACTTAAATTCTAAATTTATAAAAATCTCTGAAGAAAATGTGCAATGATTAGAGGTGTGCTCTTTTTTTCTTACTTTAGGCAAAATATTTGTTATGGTACTGCCAGGACTGTTTGTGCAGTTACGAGTTAGTTCAAAGGCTCCTGCAATTTCATTACCTATATAATTTGGACAGGACTTTAACATGTATTTTATATCATGAAGATATATTTTCCTTATCATAAAATATAGAGCATCCTAGCCCTTCCTTACCCAACCTTGAATAAAAATTTGGAATTAGCACACTCCTAAAGTGCTTATTCGCCAACCAATGTAATGTATCTCTGCTCAGACTCATGGTGTTGGCTCAGGAGATTCAGCACACTAATTAATCCAACACAGTAATTAATTGAGTCACCATGCCAGATGTCAAATCCTTTTTATATCTTTCAAGTTCCCATCTTGAAGTGCATTAGCAATATGCCACCTTCTGCAGGAAGCCTTTGCAGACCAGGCATTTGGATGTATATAGAACATTTCGAGAATATAGGCTATATAGAAACACCAAAACAAATTGATTTGACAAAAAGTTATTTTTGAAATTATATAACACACCAAACATAGAAATAAATAATCTTTTGCCGACACCCCATTATCTTGTTCAATACCTCCTGTTGCTGCCATTATTGAATCATTAAAACAACATGTAGTTAATACAGTCATTGGAGCAGATATGGGTCAGAGGGAGAGATAGAAGGAGAGAGGGAAAGAGATTTATTATAAGGAATTGGCTTATGTAATTATGGAAACTGGCCAGTTAAAAACCTTGCATGTGCACTAGCAGGCTGGAGACCCAGGAAAGACAACAGTGCACTTCTAGTCCAAAGACTGGTAGGCAGAGACCCAGCAGAACCAATGGTGCAGATGAAGTTTGTTGCTTGGAGAGGCCAGTGTTTCTGTTCTTTTCAAGCCTTCAGCGGGTTAGATGAGACCCACCCAATTACAGAGGGAAATCCGCTTCGCCCACAGTTCACTGATTCAAATGTGAGTCTCATCCAAAATACCCTCCAAGTTGACACATAAAATTAAGGATCACAGGCTCCAAAGCTCTATGATCCATTTTAAGTTTCAGGTTTTTTTCAGGTGTAATTGTACACCCCTCAATGGACTGATAGCCAGTGAGTGAGCCTAGCCTTCTCTCCAACATCCCACCTCTGCACCGAGGAATAACTTTACATTGAATGCTATCATGGTGACACAAACCTCATGTTTTTAAAAGCTTTGCAATTGTATTCATTGAAAATATCAAAGGACTACTGACAAGGAAGACAATTTAAAAATCACTTTAAATTGTGATCAATATTTGTCTTGGAGATGTTTTAGAATTTCTACACTTTTATATTGTGCCTTTGAAGTTTTCCCATTTTCTCCTAAGGACAAAGGTCTTTGTTCTATGCTAAATCTCTGCTATGTTGGCACATGACTAGTGCCTAATAAGTGGCAAACAACAGTGACTGGAAGATTGGATGTCTGGAATTTAAGTGACATTTGCCCTCTCTTGCTTTTGAATATGTCAGCTGTTAGTAGCTAACTAGTGTAATACAGCCAACTGCTGGGACTACACAACATGCATACTTAATTAAATAGAACATAAATCAAGTCCCACGTGACTTACTATGTAATAGTAAATTCATCACCACCTGTTAAATTCAACAAATGAAATCTGATGGAGAAGTCTCATTTCACTGATGCTGTTCGATCAGGATAAGGCATTCGTGACACTGAATTCTCCAAATGGGAAATACACATATGAAGGGTGCTATAGACAACATTTCATTGACTTAATAATGAAAGAATGCAGGCATTAACTTGCACCTTAAACTTTTTAAGATGGTTACCCTCATAAAAATGTCATTGAGGAAAGAATCAGAGGTCCCTGTTCCATATCCTAGGAAAATATCAGAATTATTAGATGTCTCCTTCTCTCCCCTTCCAGGTCTAACTCTTCCAGAACCAATCTCTGATCCCATTCATTGCCAAAGTCTTCCAATTTTGTGGTGTATACACCCTGTAGCAAATACACACCCATATGTCGCTAACATTCATCTGTATAGTCAAAGGCTGCTTAGTGGAAACATCTGTAAACATCTTTCTAGTAGAGGACTTTTTCCCCAGCCTCAAGAGTAAACTTGCCACAAGCCGGGCACGTTGGAGGTGCTGGAGAACTAATATTTCCTGACCTAATGCTCAACCAATGAGGGACAGAAGTTGGTGGATGAATACCCCCACTGTTCTAAGAAGTGTTCTACACCATCTCTTAGAGTTTGCCAGTGCAACTGAGCTTCAGTTGGCTTTATAATGCCTTCTTTATGACCTGCCTTCTCTTTACTTCTCCATTCCTCTACTGAAATTTTGTGACAATACCTCCCCAATGAACTACTTGAACTTAAATCAGTCTCATGGTAAGTTCTGGGGAAACTTACAAAACAACCTCTAAAATATAATGAAGTAAATTTGAGAGTAATCCAAATTATTGTTGAGATTCTAGAGAACAGATTTATTTTAAAAATTTCTATCATTCAGTTTTAGACCTCTGCCCCTGGCACATAATAGATATCCAATAAATGCTGTTTAAAATAATAATCTAATCTAATGGACTTTCCTTACCATGACCATTCTGTTGGACCCCCACCCATATACCCCCGTGTCACCATCTCAATGATATAATTTTGCTGAGGCATGATTTTTTGTTGGGTCTTACATTTCTTTTCATTGATGTTGACATTGGGAAAGATCTCTTTCTTTTTAATATTCATTCTAATCTAGGCTCAGGGCTACCAAACTTTCCTACTTCTCATATCTCTCTGTGTCTTGGCTCTTTGAATTTAACTGCACGTTTCCCAAAACACTCTGGCCTTTCTTCTCTTCTCCCTCTGTTCCCAGTGCCTCGGGGAGCTTATCCACTTGTAAAGCTTCAGCTACTAATTTACAAATGACATTTAAATTAAAAATTCTCTAACCTTGGCTTTTTACCCTTTCTCTAATAGCACATTTCAACTGTTTTGTAAGCCTTTCCCACTGACTTGCTCCAACGAAATAGTCACAAGGAGAGTTTAGTACTGTTTCCACAGATTGCTTCTCTATTCTTCTCCCTGACTTCCAACTTTTAGTCACCTTTGATCCTACGTCTCTGTCTGCATCTCTTTTCCTGCCTCTACAAGAAGTTCATCCTGTAAGTTATTCTGGGTTTTGTCTCCATTTCTGTCTCTCCTTCTCTCACATCTCAGATGTCCATTTATACCCATCTCACACACGTGCGTGCACAGCCCCCCTCGTCTGTATTGTCTGTAGCTACTACCCTTTTCTCTTCATCTTCCAGGACTCTCATTTTCAGTTCCAGAAACCAAGGACCATAACTCCTGCTTTCCTCATGTCTGCTCTCTTCTTTCTGTTCCTGCTACCACTGCTTTAGTTGAAACCTCTATCTTTTCTTCCCTGGTTATCACAATATGTCTCCCC